AACTCGTCGATATCATATGATATCATTGGATAGAAATTATTGAGAAGTAATAAATTTATTATTTGTTTTGCTTAAGTATACCTAAAACTGAAGAAATATTACAATTTTGGAACAAAAAAATTCTCGACGTGCGTGGCACGTCATTCCAGCGCAAGAGGTTAATATACGCTTCCACGTGTCGAAAACGTGCGAATTTCTGATAAATCGTCTCGAGACAGGGAGAAAAAAAAGGTTTGCGAAATCTTTCAGTGAAACAGCGGCTCAAAAGTGAAGGAAGCATTTCTCTTTGCACGGCATTATTGTACAGCAGGTCATTGGGCCATAGAGAATCCAAAGATGGCCGAACGGATTTAGCGCGAGGAAATTAAATGTGCGTGAAATTATTGGATCTCTTTCCTTCTTTTTCCTCATTTTCCCCCTCTTCTCCTCCTCTGTTCTTTCATCGTTTGAAGTAATAGAATTGTCCATGATCGATTGCATGGTACGATTCCTCTTTCTTTCTTTCTTTCTTTGTTTTTTTTTTCGTATTGTTCAACAGAAAGATCTCATCCGTCTTACGAACTGCTTTGCGCAAGATGTTCCGTCTGAATAAAGTAATCGAGCTGAAGGCAAAATTGCCTTGTAATTTAGAAAGGAAATTTTTAAACGATAATTGGAAGGTTGTTATTTTAACGCTATGTCGAGAGGCGATCAAAAAACACTTTGAGAGTGATTTTTACGAGAGGCGAGAATAGAAAACTGCTCTCTGAAGAAATCATCAGATTATCATTCAGACACTTTTGTTTCTGCCAGATATTAATATTTATAAGGTAGATCGGAATGAACGATTTTCTCTGACGTGAAATTCAAATTATGTGTCACGATTTTAATCGCATAACCCAGATTCTACTATCATTACACATAACCGTCTGTGTAACAATATTCAATCTGAATAATTTACAACTAAAATTAGAATTCAAGCTTTGTTTTACTGCGAGTGCAGGCTGTCTCTAGGGAAGGCAAAACATCAAATTAACGAGGACAAAGATGAAAACATTGCAAATAGGTCGCAGACGATAAAAGTCGATTGGCCCGACTTTCGATAAATAGGACAAAACGATTGGCATAGAAATAAATAAAAGCTAAATTCGTCTGACCGTTCTCAGTGCGTTCCTGTTTGTCGGAAGTGTTGGCGGATCTGGAGGAACGTCTCAGGGTCGCCTCGAAGTCGCCCACCACGTCGCTGAGGTCGAGGGCCGTCGGTACTTGCACGTATCCTGGCTTGTCGTGGCTCGACCTCGGCGAACTCGTCACGCCGTTCGTCGTTGCAGGTCCCTGTGGTATTTTCGTCAAATCGGCCTCTATTCCGGCGAGGGTTGGACTCACCTAACATTAAAAATATCAAAGAATTCAACGAGACGATCTTCCCTCGACGCTGTTTATTATTCTTGTCTCTCTCTGTTTTCAAAGTGAACATGAAAATGATCTTTATTCACCAAGCAGTGAAAACGCTGGGGCGAAATTTGCGCGTTCGACATTATCGAAAGACATGGCAAAAAAAAAAAAAAAAAAAATTAAAAAAAAAAAAAAAAAAAAAAAAAATTCAGCATTAAAGCGAAAAATTGTACAGAAGCCTGCTGAGAAAACAAAATGAACGCAATTTAAAAAAAAAAAAAAAAAGAATGTAAAAAACGTGAAAATGAGAGAGAAAGATTTAATTATCACGGAACGAAGTCTCATGACGTTGGAAATGACGTCAAAAATGATTGAACGCTGGAAATGCGTTCGAATCACGGGCAAAGCAGTTTAATTACGAAATTGAAGCGATCAATTACCAGACCGAGGAGAACCTCCATCGACTGACATTGCCTCCGACGCTCCCTTTTCTTACGTCTCTCGATGCTAGACCTATCGCCGGCACTTCCTGCCGCGACTGCCTCGCAGTATCGCACGAAGTCCAGGTCGATGTGATAGCCGTAAGGGCAGCAAAGGCATTTCGTGCCTGTCGAGCCGGAAACGAAGGCCTGCGTCCCCACTAGAGTGTACCGAGAACAAACACAAAGGGTACAATTATCTAGCTTCTTATAAAAATACCTGTGTTACTTGACGAATGTTCTTTATCAAACACTTAAAGCAAGCTGAAGTATTTATGTTAATCGGTTGACGCGCATGATTGTGACACACATGGGAAGTTTTTCTTCTGTTTTATATTGTATATAGTGTAGTATATTGTATATTATACATTATAATTTTTATTATAATGGTATATTATATATTATATACTATAATTTTTGTTACAATAGTATATCATATATTATATATTATAATTTTTATTATAATAGTATATTATATATTATATAGTATAGTATATATAATATATATGCATATAGTTTTTTATATCATATATTTTACATTATAGAAGATTGTATATCATAATAGTATGTTACATATTACATTTTATAATTTTTATTATAATAGTATATTATATATAATATATAATATTATATATTATATATAATAGTATATAGTATATAGTATGCATAATATATATGTATATAGTTTTTTATATCATATATTTTACATTATGGAAGATAGTATATCAAAATAGTATATTATATATTATATAATTTCTATTATAATAGTATATTATATAGAAATTATAATTTTTTATATCATATATTTTACATTATAGAAGAAATATTGTACATCAGTTAGAATTGTAGGTTGCTTTCTCTTTAATGAAATATATACGCGTTAAATGATTAAAATAGTCACACAAATTACACACAATTTAAAGCAATTACGCATCTCAATCCCCCCCCAAGCAAACAGCCACTCCACCAACGATTCTAATTAAATTCGTAAGTCAATATGTGCTACTCCAATTATAGCAAATTATAACACACGCCACCTATCGAAATATACTTTTCGGAGAGAATTCGCTGAAAGAAACCTTCAATGCACGGAGTGCATACTAGTAATTTAGAGTACTAGTAAAATCAATCCTCTTCGATTGAATAGAAAGCGTCTATCTATTCTATCTTGATGCACGATTCTGTCTTATCTCTCGAGAGATCGATTCAGACCAAATTCAATCTTTTGGCATGTATTCGAAAAGAAAATGATCTTGTACCTCCACCGATGGCGTGGATCTATCTTTGGATGTTGAATTCGATTGTGTTTTATCTCGAGGGGGCCGATTGTTCGAGGGTAATGACCGACGCGAGGCGTAAACCGAAATATGTTGTAACCATTGGCGACCATCCAGAGGCACGGTAATAATAATCTGGCAAAGTTCGTTAGCCGGGACAGCGTGAGGATCCCATTTACATGTCATATCGGTTCCGTTCATACCATCGCGTGGCAATGACTTAATAAACTCCTATTTGAACATCAACGAAATGGAGACGATCGCCGATCCGTTCACCAATGTGACACGTGTACCGATAACGTGACAACGTAACAGAAACATTATTGGTTCTCTCAAGAAGAGAAGGTGGATTATTAAAATTGACTTTTGAAAGAAGCTCGCGTTTCCAGATTTTCTGTCTTTCGTGCGAGAGCACTTTGTTTTTCGACCATTCATTTCGCGGGAATTTTGACGATGTCCCTCGAGCAATTAAATTGGCCACGAGCCGGTCGAACAGCGAAACCGGCGCCGTGAATTCTTATGACATTAAATAAAATTTCAATTTGAAGAGCATTCGGTTCTCGTTTCGTTAGTCGTAGATTTTTTTCTCGCGATTCGAGGCGCTGCGGCGCCGTGCGCTTGCAATCACGAACGTTTTATTATTCGACGCTATACGATGAAAATAACGGATTGTTTTTTTACATCGTTTATCATATTAAATTGCGACATTGATAAACGATAATCTCTTTTCACGTTCAATTTTTCAAAGCTGAAGTATCTATAGATTATGGAGCGTTATCAATAAAATAATTGCGCTGATATGTGCGTTGAAAACGCGATCGGTAATTGCACGATTTTTGAAATCTGAAATTAATAATATGCTATATACGTGATTTGTATTATTTTGTAGTAGCAGATGGTCGCATAATTTAAAAAATATAATAAAAATATAATAATATAATAAAATAAAAATATATAACATATAATGTGTAATATAATATAATTTTTTAAATACAATCATAATAAATCATTATATATTAAATTATAATTATTATAATTATTATTATATATTAAAATGATAATAAAAATATATCCCAATA